CTAGTGTCTTTGACTTTGTGATATTAGTTTGGGCATTTCAACTTCAAATCAATTGTAAGCTCTTTCTCTGTCTCTTGTTTGGTTTTTCTGTGTTTGTACATTCTCTGTGTCTCTATGACTTGAAATCAAATGTTGGGATGAGATTTAGAGAAGATTAGAGTTGAGGTTTATTGTTTGGACATTGTTGTTTTTTTTTTAAGTGAACATGTTATTCAATATGGTGTTTGACAACATTATGCACACTAGCACAGTTGGGCTAACTAGAGAAACTACACTAAGACTATTGAATTAATGGAATTAGTAGAGGATACCTAAGTCAATTAACTTAGGCTAGTAATTAACCAATGAGATACATTAATAAAGCAACTTAACAATTGGGATAATGACTTATTCACCATCTAATTCCTAGGAACCACATTCATTAAAAAGGAACACGCAAACTTACTTTACTTGCCTTGTTTTGTTACTAGTTTCTAGTTTTTAGTTTTACTTTAAATTCACTCTTGAAGACCTTGTGGTAATTTGTATGCAGTTGAGAAATAAATACCTTTAGTGCTAAAAATGTTGCTGCTAAAAGTAATTATGTAAATTAATTTTATAAAATACTTTGGTGGTAATAAACTGTAGCCATAAAAAATAATTACATGAATTATTTTTAATTTCTTAAATACTTTTTTATGAAAATACTTTAGCAATGACAGTTTGTTGTCTCTAAAAGTAATTATATAATTTTTTTAAAATTTTTTAATTATTTTTTTATAAAAATACTTTTGGTGACGACTGTTTGTCCTTGTAAAAAGTAATCATATAAATTATTTCTAATTTTTTAACTATTGTTTTATGAAAATACTTTTGCCAGTGGCTGTTTGTCGCTGCTAAAAGTAATTACTTAAATTATTTTAAATTTTCCTAAATTTTTTATGAAAATACTTTTGTTGCAGCTAAAAAGTGATTACATAAATTATTTTAAATTTTCCTAATTTTTTTATGAAAATACTTTTGTTGCTGCTAAAAAGTTATTACATAATTATTTTTAATTTTTTAATTATTTTTTATAAATATAATTTTGACGGTGATAGTCTGTTGCCACTGATAAGTAATTACATAAATTGTTTTAAATTTTTAAATTATTTTTATGAATATACTTTTGGCAATAGTCGTCACTAAAAGCAATAAAATAAATTATTTTTTATAAAATACTTTTAGCAGTGACATTTTGATGCCATTAAAAGTAATTACATAATTTTTTAAATTTTTAAATTTTTTATAAAAATACTTTTTGGCATCGACAACTAAAAGTGATTTTTAGCAGGAACAATTAAAGGTCATCGCTAAAAGGGGACATTTGATGGAAACAATTAAAAATCGTCACTAAAAATTTACTTTTAGCAGCAATATTGGTCTACTTTTAGCAACGACTTCACCAAAAGTAGATTTTTGGTTGCAACTTTCTTTATCATAGCTAAAAGTTATCGTCATCGTCAAAGTTTTTTTTATTTTTTGGTAGCATCTATATGTGGCCATATAGAACATTTGAGCCATAATCATCCTATATGGCCTCAAGGGTTCTAAATTTGGTTAAATCTAGAGCCTTATATAGGACGATTTGTTAACGACCATCCTATATTTACAACAATATATGATGGCTATATAATTGTCCTATATGTGCTTTTCCAATAGAGGATAGATGTCAATCATCCTCTATAACCATTCTATTGTAGTAGATATTGCAACACAAAAAAGTTCATGATACTAGATACTACTATGCATTTAGAAGCAAAAATGTCCTTTTAAACCCTTAATTTAATTATGAAATTTGAACAAAATCACCAATAAATAACATAAAATTTTTGCCTAAGCAAGTTAGTTTCAAATTAAATTGATCTAAGGTATATCTCTAAAAGATTGATTTAAGCAGTACAAGCTTGAATTCAATCAGTAGGATTGCTATAACGATCAACAAACCAATTATTGGCTAATAAAGTGCGCCAAATAGATGAAGATAAGGTTGGCTATACCACACACTATTATCCTTGACTGGACCCTTATTCAATAGCTTCATAGGTTGATGGCAAAAAATTAATAGCATCGTGGGTTCCCGGCATCCCTTCTTAAATGGAAAATTGGGGATTTGGATGAGTGGGTGATCTAAATTCACTTATTTAATAAGTGTTTTAATTATAGTTATTGGATTTTATCAATACTTAAAACTTGTTAAAATATATTTCCCTTCAAAAAATCAAAACAATTCTCACTATTAAAACACTCAATACAAAGTTTGGACTAAGGTGTTGAATAGTCGATAGGGGAAACCAGTTTAAACAAAAAAACAAACAAACAAACTTATGCAAGGTTTGAATTAAAGTGATCGAGCAGAGTGAACACCCCTACACATAGGGAAGTAGGCAGGGGTCTATATTGTTGAAGAACCAGGGATGTTTTGCGCAGATTCAAGAATTGAACAAGGATAAATATTAAGAATTAAGAAAGGAGATAACAAAATCTTGTGGTTTTCACTTCACTTTAGAAATCTTTGGATTACAATGTAGCAAATCAATGTTCAAATATTGTGAGAAGGGGTGCCTACATTTAATACCCAACCATGTTTTGAACAAGATTTTCTCCAATTAAGAATATATACATGTGATCGAGCAATCAAAAAGAGATGTTTTGGATCTATGTTGTTGACGAATCAGAGACGTACGTTTTGCCTTGACAGGCGCTCTTCACTAAATGAGCCGCAAAACGATTATTTACAGATTTTCCATTAATGAAAACAGCCAATTTTTTTGGCGTTTCTCCAGTTCTGCAAAACGAAGATAAGAAAACCTATAAAAGATGTTCTGCTTTTTTTCTATTTATTTTTACAATATAATGATTTTTCTTCAGAATACCTCTCAAAAAACTCATTACCAAGTTTCAAAACTCCCAGAACAAAATTTCAATACGCTCTGAGTTGTTCTGAGTTAGTAAAGCTATTCTAAGTTAAGAAATTATAAAATTTAAGTTGTTCTAAATTAGGAAGATATACGGATTGAATTGTTTCGGGTCATTCAGTAAGAAGCCTTTTGATATAATATAATATATATATATATACACACTAAACTAGGGGAAACAAGTTGGTGAAATGAAATTTAGTAGTTACTTATATATAAGGTACTTGTTATTCACATTAGGACACTTGTAAATGAGCATATTTTTATACTCCCTCTGTTTTCATTTGTAGAAAAGAAAAACTGTATGACACAGTTTAAAAAAATTAGTTAACTATATTAATTATGTTTAAAAATAAAAAAATTAAATTATAATACCCTTCATTAATTGTGTTAATCAGGCCTTTATTAATTGTCTCTTATGACTATGAATGATAAAATTAGGTGGGATAATTTAGAAAGTTTGTAATAAATACTTATTGAAATATGTGATTTTACTTGTATAAAAAAATAAGTTATAAGTGGTAGTTTCTCCTATGAACGAAAACAGAGGCAGTATATCACTAATAATAAGGTATTTTACTTTAAAATAAATATAAAATTATTTGTTTACGGGCACTTTTGGGCAAACATATTAATTACATTTTAAAACACTAAAAATATTTTATACTTTTTAACATCTAATCATTTAAAAAATATTTTATATTTTTTAACAAAAAAAATATGTCAAAAGGGCTTCAATGGCCTACTGGTGCATTTTTTTTTTTTTTGTCAATATTCCAGAGGTAGTGCCCTCAAATCTTTGCATGACCACTCATGGCCAATAATTTGCTCACCGAAGCCGAAGCTCCAGTTGTCGGCCAGTCGAGTTTTGATTACAAGCAGCTAGCTGAAGCTCCAGTTACTGGCGCAGATAATTTCTTTTTGAAAAAAGATAAAGGGCACTTTAGTGATTAAACATAAGATACATTTAAAATAAAAGATTTGGAACTTGGGGATAGTTTATCCATCTCATGGGAGCTTGTAGTATTTATAATTCCTATGAAGAACTTTGGAGTGATCTTCCCAAAGAAATAAAATCTCATCATAATTATTAAAAAAAAAAACTATGTGTGAAACACATTGCAAGGTAGGGTTAGACCAAGCCTAGCTTACATCCCACTATCTCTCATGTTTTTGGTTGTATTCTTAATCTACATCATAGCAATTTATAGTGGCAAAAAAAAAAGAAAAAGAAAAACACAAAAAAGAAAAGAAATCGTACCTCCACCGTCATTAATTTATTAAATTTCTCTGTGCACCATAAATCAGTGTGTTAAGTCGATCTCCTTGCTCCTTCACTCAATTAAACTCTTATTCATTAATTTCTCCCTGTCCTGACGGCTACGAACTGGAATTCGCGCCATTAGTAAGGACACATCGATCCTTCAAAACTTTAAAGTCCTTTTGAGATATTAAAGTTTTCTTGACCACGAGTGAGATAAAATAATGTCGGTGGCTGCTGAGGATACAAATAACTGTGGAGCCAGAACCCAGAAGAAGCCAGGAGGATGGAAGGCCATGCCTTACATTCTAGGTCTCTTTATTTCATTTAATTTTCTTCTCTTTCGAATCATAATACATATACATGTCAGTGTTTGGATATGTATGTATGTGCCAAGTTGTCTATGGGTGAGTAGACTTGAAATAATGTGAGAAGTCTCAAATTAGACAAAGCTATGTTTAATATCTAATATATGATAAATGAGAACAACTCATAAACTTGAGTATTAAGATTTTAAGTTAATTAGATGTGTTGTCCTTCCCTAATTCTTACCCATTTTTCCTCTCTCCCAGGAAATGAAGCGTTTGCAAGCTTGGGATGGAACGGGATGTTTGCAAACTTTCTGGTGTACCTGACGAGAGAACTTCATATAGACATGGTTGATGCTGCCAATATGATGAGCATATGGTATGGGCTCTCCAACTTCGGACCTCTCATTGGTGCCTTCATTTCTGATGCCTATGTGGGTCGCTTCAAGACCATAGCTTTTACTTCGCTTCCTAATCTTCTGGTATCTCTCTCTCTCTCTCTCTCTGTGGATTTTTTTTTTTTGGAAAATATTATCTAAGGATTTTGGGAAAGTTTTTATTCCAAAAAGGGAACTTAAAAGTCTAAAATTTTTACTGCACTCCCATATGTGGTACCTATTTGAAAATAATATTTTATAAGAAAAGACTTAATTACCCCCAAAATTTAATAAGTTAATGGGTTATTGTTAATTATATAAGGTTACTTATCAAAATCTGAATTTATTTAGGACCAACATTTGTGCGATTAAATTTGTGTTATCAATTTTTGTAACTTGTTTACTTCCGAGAGAGTTGTGATTATTAATTATATATGATTATTCATCAAAACTTAAATGAATGCTTGTTAAACTTTAGAGATAAGTAGATCTTATCTCACAAAATCTTATTTTTAGATAGGTATTTAAGAAGTGCAGTGAAATTTCATATTTTTAAGGTTATTCTTTGATATAAAACCTCTTCAAGAAGTCATTAGATGATACATATACATATGGCAGACTTCCAATTCCATGTAACTGATGAAAAAGTGATAGCAGAACGACGTATGGACAAGTCATGTCATCAATAAACCAAAATTCATTTGTTTTTATATATAATAAACTGATATTATATGTGTGTGTGCCTGTGGGTGTGTGTGTGTTAAAACATGTACAGAGTAGTTAAACTGTTTCCAATTAAAAAAAAAAGGTGTGGTTCATTAGTCGTCATATTTCTTCATTATTATAAAATATAAAAGTTATAGAGTTATAATATTTATAAATTACAAACAGTGGTTGATTAAATAATATTTCTTCAATCTCTTTTGTTGCTTTTTAATAAATTTTAAATGATAAAAAATGATATAATTTTTGAAAAAAATATTTAATTCACTCTATTGTAAGAATATGCTTTTATAAGTTTGTTTTTAATTATTATCTCGTGTATTGTACATGAAAGATGTCTAGTTTAATGCGTATGTGCGTGTGAGGGATGTGTGTGTGTGTATTCTATTTATTAATCATGAAATATTATAATTCTTCGAACGAATAATTAAGCATGTCTCATTTAATTAACAATTTCCATTGAACAACACAGGGAATGATGGTTGTGACACTAACGGCATGGTTGCCAGAGTTACATCCTCCACCATGTACACCTCAACAACTAACACTAAACCAATGTGTGAAACCCAGCAAGACCCATCTTCTTGTTCTGCTTCTGGGATTTCTCTTATTGGCCATTGGCTCTTCTGGTATAAAGCCTTGTAGCATCCCGTTCGGCGTCGACCAGTTCGACGCGTCGACGGAAGAAGGAAGGAGAGGGATCGTCAGCTTCTTCAACTGGAGCTACACCATATCGTCTCTGGTTTTTCTGGTCACTCAAACTGTGGTGATCTATGTTCAAGATTCTGTGAGTTGGACTCTAGGGTTTGGGATCCCCACTGTGTGCATGTTCTTGGGTCTGGTCTTGTTCTTTGTTGGTACGAGGATTTATGTTCATGTGAAACCACAGGGGAGTATATTGTCTGGGGTTGCTCAGGTTCTTGTTGCTGCTTATAGAAAGAGAAAAGTTCAGCTTCCTAATAATTTTGGTGAAGATGATGACATTGGAAGAGTCTTCTATGATCCTCCTTTGAAGGACGGTAGTATCATCGTGACAAAGCTGCCTTTGACCAACCAATTCAGGTGTTTATACTGTCTCTTGTCCCTATTGTATGGTGCTTATTAGCTGGAAGAATTTTTTTCCTTAATTTACGGTACTTGATGAGGGTATTAATTACATTTTTCTAATATTATTTCTATTTAAATTCATTAATCGTGAGAGAAAATCTAATGCAAATTTAAAAATTTTTCATTAAAAAAATAGAGGTAATTAAAACTGAAAGATTATTATATTTTCAGACAATATTAATAACTTAATGATCTCTCCTTAATTTTGGTGAAATAACTAGAGATTTGTTATAATAGATATCAGAGCGAGTACCGTTTTCTCTAGAATATTTTTGATAGTGTGAAAGAGACAAGTTGGTCTATGTATAATAAAAATGAAAAATTGAGGATTGGCTTTCTACATATTGGTCCATTTCAAGCTTTGTGATTGGATACAACTTGATTTGCAATCTCCACCATCTTGTTCTTGGGGGAAAAAAAACGTACAGCTAAGTTGTTCCAGGGAGCTTTTAGTTTTCTTCTTTTTTTTGTTTTTAAAAATCATTTTGTAAACTAATTTTTAAATTTTTTCAAGTAAAATAAAATAAGAATATGTTTGTTTATGTTAATTTAAAATAATTTTAGACTTAAAAAAAATAATTGGTAGTGATGATCACCAATAATTAATGATGATAGCTTATAATAGTGATTAATCATAATTGAAGGTAATTTATAATAATCAAATATAGTATGTTTTAAAAATATAAAATGAAAAGAATTTTAAATGTATTTAAATTCAATTTATAATAATCAAATATAGTATATTTTAAAATTAAAAAATGAAAACAATTTTAAAGTATTTAAATTCAATACATTTACTTAAATATTTTTTATTTTTTATTTTTAAAATAAAAAATAGTTTTTAAAATCATAAATCAAATAGTCCCTTAATATCTCCAAAAGAACATACGTGCACCTCATTTTTCTTTGTATGTGTATATATAATTGAGCTTTTAATTTTTTTTGTCATGAATAGTTTTTAATCTAATATAATAAATTAAGTACACTATTCAAAATGATTTTTCTATACTTCAAAACAGCCCATCAAATATTGTACAAGACAGTAGTATATTCATTTATTCTTTTTTACCTTATACTCCCTCCATTAAAAAATGTAAGGTATTTTTTAAAAAGTTAGATATTCAAAAATATAAAATATTTTTAATCTTTTGATGTCTAATCATTGTTTTTTTTAAAGTGCCCCTATTAATAATGACTTTATATTTATTGTAGGGTGTTTAATAGGGATAAATATAAAAAGATAGGGTTTGTTAAAAAGTATGTAACTATTTTATTAGGAGTTGAGATTTGGTTAAAAATATTTTATATCTTTTAACAGAGGAAGGATATCTTTTTCTCTTTTGGGAAATCATTGAATTGAAAACCATCAAACAATTAATAGTATCCATCTTTTATTAGGATCAGTACGACAAGAAAAATTATGTAAGAAAACCGAACTTGAACTCACAATATATATTTCCTCATTAAAAAATATAAAGCATTTTTAATTAAATTTCACACCAATGAAGCAATTAATTATCTTTAAATTAATATTATCTTTACATATTTACCCTCATTTAATAGAATATTTCACTTTAAAATAAATACAAATTAATTTATTTATTATGCACTTTTGGAAAAGCATATTAATTACACTTTAAAACTGTAACAATGTCTTATATTTTTTACCAAAAGGGGTAGAGAGTAAATATTTTTAAACTTATAATAATTGTAACTACTTTTAACTGAATTATTAGCTGGTTCAATAATTTTTTTCAGGGCATTAAACAAGGCTGCTTTAATAATGGAAGGTGAGTTGAACACAGATGGAATCCGAGTAAACCCATGGAGACTGACTAGCATCCAGCAAGTAGAAGAAGTGAAATGCCTCGTCGGAATCTTACCAATTTGGGCAACTGGAATCTTCACCCTAACCTCAATAATACAACTAGGAATCTTCACAATATCTCAAGCCCTAAAAATGGACAGAAACCTCGGACCCCGCAGGTTCCAAATCCCCGCAGCTTCATTCTCAGTTATCTCCTTCCTCACCATCGGCCTCTGGGTCCCCATCTACGACCGAATCCTCGTACCATCACTTAGAAAAATCACACACCATGAAGGAGGCATCACGTTGCTTCAACGAATCGGAATTGGCTTGTTGTTCTGTGTCGTGTCCTTGGTCGCGGCAGGGTTCGTGGAGCGAGCTAGAAGGGGTTCGGTTAACCCGAACCCGAACCCGACGATGTCTGCGATGTGGCTAGCCCTGCCGTTGATCCTGATGGGTCTCTGTGAGGCGTTTAGTGGGATTGGAATGGCTGAGTTTTTGAATAGGCAATGCCCAGAACACATGAGAAGCATTTCGAATTCATTGTTGAGTTGTTCTTGGGGTGTGGCGAGTTATGTAAGCAGCTTCATGATCACAATAGTTCATCGGAGGACGAGTTGGTTAGCGAATGATTTGAATGTTGGGAGATTGGAATTGTTTTACTATCTTATTGCTGGGCTTGGAGTTTTGAACCTGGGTTTTTTCCTCTTCGTTGCTCATAGGTATCAGTACAAAAGTTTGAAGGTTCAAGATGTTGATAATGATGATGATGCTAATGGTGATGTTGAGTTAGTTGCATCCAAAGCTTCTGTATGATGCTTAACTTCTACTCTCTTTCAATGTTAATTTTTTAGAAATGTTTTTTTATAACCGTTTTTAACAAATGTTTTACAAGTAATACTACTGGGATGTTAATAACAAATTATCGAATTTTCAGCACGCAGTTAAGTTATTTTGGAATACACACAAACACACACACACACACACACACATAAAGAAAAATTGATAATATTTCATACCCAGTACAAGTATATATTCCTTTTTGAAATATCAGTACAAATTGTACGCAATACGCACGGCAATAGATTTCGTTAGAAGCAACTTTACGCAATACGCACTGTTTCATTGATCGCAATAAGTTGAGATGGATGGTGGGGATGTAAATTTACATCCTCTAGCTGAATCAAAAAATTTTAAATTCAAGAAAAAGGTTTCTGTAGTTTTCTATCAAATATTTAATAAATATTCAACCCTTTAAATAAAATTGTTTCCAATATAAAAATACCTATCAACAATTAAAAAAAAATGAACTACGGTGAAAATAATACTTCAATACGCTCACAGAAAAGATTCAACGGGTGAGGCCTGGTTTCATCATTAAAAGCACTTTAAGAAACCTAAATCAGAATTATAATTAGTAGTGACAAGTTGAGCCAAATTTCCTTAAGTTCATAATTAGAACCGGTAGCCATTTTCTCTCCAGGATAGCAACTTATTTGATTAATTAGCTTTTATCATGGATTTGGTGTCTCTCTCACACATCAAATAGACACAAACTATACTTGGGATAATTAACTGTTGGTCTTCGAATTAATAAAATATTGATTTCTTAGTGCGCCACAAATTACATTGATTATGCTTAATCCAAGACTTGAACAGTAAGCTATCCATTCAAACGTCAAGAAGTGGGTTAGATTGGACCCACCGAATTGTGGTGAGTTAGAATTTTATATACTCAATACGTTATGTGTGAAGTGTGAACTGGGAGTCAGTTATACGAGTTAATTTATTCTATTATAAAAAGAGGGCAGGGCATTGCTCCTTAATTATTTAGAGCTGAAGGAAGCCCTCCTTCACACCTCCTCTAAGGTTGGTGCAAATATCAACTATTCAGATTTAATTTATATGATCCTGATTTAATATTGTATTTAATTAATTTGCAGTTATTAATATAAAAAATTTATATAAAATAAAAAAATAATAAATTTATTCAAAGTTTGGATAGTGTAGATTGAACATAAATGACTCATGTTTAGTTGTTTAATATTAAATTTTTTATAATTTTTATAAATTGATTATCCAAATATATTCTAAATAGTAAAAATTTAATTTTGAAATTTTTTATACACTTTTAATATTAAATATATCACATTCATGTTAAATCTAGACTTTCTAGACTAGTAAATAGTTTTATTACAATTTTTTATAATTTATATAATATTTTTTTATTTAAATGAATGTAAAACAAAAATAAAATAAATCTTGATTTAATATTAATCTAGACTATCCAAATATGCACCTCCCTCAAAGGAGGTGCAAACGGAAGCCGACTTCCAAATATTTGTGTAGGATTGTATGGTATTTTAAACTTTTTAGTTATGATAAATAAATATTAACTTTGATCATTTATTATAAAATTATAGATACTAACACTGAGAATTACAGAAAATGAGTTAGGAAAGTATAAATAAATACTCTATAAGAAAATATTTAATATTTAAGAAGTTTTAATTTTTCATGGGATACTTAATTGTAATTTTTCTGTCCTTTCATATAACTTTTGAGATTTTCCAGAATTTTTTTAGATCAACTAACGGTTAAAATTAAAATTTGTTAATTATATAGGCAATATTATTGCCCTATTTTAAAATACTGAAATGGGACATTGCACTACAAAATGTTTAAAATGGTAACTTATGTGCAAATAGCTGAAGGAAAAAAATATACATTAATCTTAATTTTTAAAACAAATCACCAATAATTGTTTAAGAAAGAATTAATTAGTTAGATGTTATTTGGACCCTGTTCCTCGTTCACCCGCAGTCTTTGTCGATAATCAATCAGATGGCACTTATTGATTGGTATGGTGTCCTCTTTCTCCGTTTGGAGGCCCATCAAATATTCTTGGGGTGAATTCGTAGCATTTTTAGTTGTTCCTTTTATGGTTGCGTGATGCGTTTTTTTTTTTTTAAGTGAATGATTTAATAACTAGACCCAACCAAATGGTGGGATCAGTTGGATCATCGATTAGAACTGTTAACAGCTCGGTTTGAACTAAAAATCATTTTCATGATTGAGCCAAATTGGACTGAAGTTGAATTGCTATTAAGTTGAAAAGCATAGTTAATGGGATCAGTTTTTAAAAATCTGGATAGTTTTAAACATAATATTAAAAAATTTTAAAAATTTTAAAAAATAGAAAAATTTAAAAATTAGATCCTACTAAAAGTCAGCTTTATTTTTGAACAATTCACATGTATAAAATATAATTTGAGACCATTTTTTTTTACAAATGTTGACAATTATATTTGCAAATGCAAATATTTTTGAGTTTACTTATATCTAATTTAATCAAGATTCACCTATATTTAATAAGTTATAAAATTATAATTTATAATATTATTAATTTACAATCATGTCATTTTATTAACATGCAATACATTTTATTAACATACTATATATTATTTATATTTAATTATTACATCAATGGTCCAACTGCCAATTTAATTGATTATAGACCAAAAAAACTGAGAACCACTAACTTTTTTGTTCAACATCTAGTTTGACTTTTAAAACATTAGTGGAATATACTTTTTGTTCATCATATCACACCTAGTACTAAGAGTGACTAGCATGGAATATGAGGTAAACTCATATTTCATGAGCCTTGACAAACCAAAGATTGAGCTAAAATATCGATAATTAGTTTATGCATATAATTTTGAAGTTTATAAAATATTAAATATTTTGTAGAAATTTTGGCAAAATCTCTCATGTAATTTGAACCTCCTGAAATTTTCATAATAGCAAAACCTATTATCTAATCCACTAAAAGAGCCTATCTCCACACCAATAAATTATATATATCAGCAAAATAAAACTAGGACCTAATAATGATATACGTGGAGCACTAAATTACAAGTACATAAAACAATACATTTATATGAAAATACCCAAAACTGGTTTCACTATCCAAAATAATACTGTCCTCAACGATCAACAGACATGGTCATTTACAATATTTGAGACCAAAGAAATTTTTGGTGACTAGCATTCCAATAAAAATTATAATTTAAAATATAAAGATAATAACTAATAATTTTAATTCAAAATGACTTAACGAAATAATGAAATATATACTTAAGTTAACAATAAATAACAAGTTTTCTTAAAAATATAACCATGAAATTAAATAATGCTATTAGAATCATATAAATGTATTAAAATTTATACTGCTCATAAAATAAAATTAAAAATTCCAATAATAGTGAAATTCAATAAAGTACTTTCAGAGAATTAATAGAGAAATGATAAATTTTAACTTAAATTCAAGAGGATTTTATCAGAACGAAGAACAAGCATGGACACATAGTCAACGAGGGTAAATAACCAATCAAGCATGGGCACATAGTTCACGAGGATAAGTAACCAATCAAGTACAACTGAAAGCCATGAAACAAGTGTAGTAAGAGCCATGAATTAAGTGCTGGAATGAAATCCAAGAAAACAAGCATGAGAACGATACTCATAAATAACCACTCTTCATTCTACATGCATTAGCTCTTGTATAGGGCTAACATCTCTTACAAGCACTCTACTAGCTAGGTGTACCATGGCACGCCAAGGGTTGATGGAAAAGCCATTAGCATCTAGCATTTTAAAGTCAGCCCTCCTTAATAAAATCAAGCATATTTGGAGCAAGAAAACAGTTTCAAAATTTTCTCTTTCAAACACCAATCAACCATCATTTTTTTCATTGTCCAAATTTATCATTATTTCCTCCATATATGAATCATTGCATTAAAAGTTTTATATCAACATAAAATTCAGGAATTAAACTATTTTAAAAATATATATATCATTTATCATATATACGTTTCAATCATTACTTATCACCAATAAAATCAAGACATATTCATTCATAAAACAATTATAAAAAATAGGATTAACAATAATACTTGTATAATTTATAAAGGAATAATAGTAAAATTTAAATAAAATATTTTATAAATACTTTATTACAAATTTATTCAGAACGCTACCCACTTACCTGAGAGTTTTCAAGAATTATAAAACTTGACTCCCTCAAATTCTCACTTACTTCAATGATTCTTCAAATAATTTAAGCAATAATCAAACAATCCTCTTGTCATTACAAATTTCCCTTCTTATAATAAATAAATAAAATTAACATTCAAAATTTTCAATATTCCCTAAAATGTCTCATTATTCCCTTAAATTTTCACTAAATCATTCAACAATTTCTATCAAATAATCAATAACATAAAGCAACATTCAACTATCACCATTGAAACAACTCTTCTTCCAAGCTTAACAAAATCTTAATCATCATTTACTATAATAATTTTCCTTTAGGTGCTGTAAAATTTCATTAGATAGAGCAACTTTACAATTTATATGAAGATATGCTTTTTCAAGTAGTAAACATAACTCCTTTAAGTTCTAATATAAAAATTAAATAATTTTATTCCCACCAACTGCTTCTTTCAAGCATTCACACAAGCACTTTGGGACTATTTATCATTGACCAAAATTATAAGATGAGAATCCAAGCAATTTCAAAAGCTTTCAAACTTCCAATTCCACAACCAAATTCAGTTCACCATCGTAACGAAATAACATCCAACATTGATCGAAATTAGACCTTAATTTCTTCTAAAATTACTAGACAGTAGCAACATAATATAGGTGTAGCATCAATCAGCCAGAGAAAGTAAAAATGATGATTCAGTGCTGCTATAGAGATCGAAGAGGAAGGAGAAATAAAACAGCCACTCAACTCAAACGAAACAGCAGTGCCATCACCATAATAAGCTCCTAAACGACGCTGCAGAAGGAAAGGAGAAGGACTTCACTCTGCTACAC